CTTTCCCCTCCCCTCCCCACTCTCCCCCTACTTTCCCCTCCCCTCCCCACTCTCCCCCCACTCCCCTCCCCACTTCCCCTCACTGCTGACCCTCGCACAATCATAACTGTTTGAAGACTCGGCACTCCAGTGTTATGGTTCCGTGTTATGTAAATTTCGATTCTGTTTTGCTGTTGTCGTCTGGAATGTGCCTGGCTGTGCTACCTGTAGCGCTGTGTTGTAGAGCGGTAAAAATTGTATTTGCGCCTCCTCCAAGGTGATTATATCGTAGCTCGTAGCGCTGTATGGTAGGTTGAAGCGTTGTATTGTAGCTTGTACCGTTGTATTATAGCCTGTAGTATTGTACTGTAGCGCTCTCTTGATGTAGTTTTGTATTTTAGTGTTGTATTGTAACGCTATATTGTTGTAGCTTTGTACTGTAGCGCTGAAACTTTGTTGTAGCGTTGTATCGTAGCTTGTAGCGTTGTATCGTAGCTTGTAGCGTTGTATTGTAGCTTGTAGCGTTGTATCGTAGCTTGTAGCGTTGTATCGTAGCTTGTAGCGTTGTATCGTAGCTTGTAGCGTTGTATCGTAGCTTGTAACGTTGTATCGTAGCTTGTAGCGTTGTATCGTAGCTTGTAGCGTTGTATCGTAGCTTGTAGCGTTGTATCGTAGCTTGTAGCGTTGTATCGTAGCTTGTAGCGTTGTATCGTAGCTTGTAACGTTGTATCGTAGCTTGTAGCGTTGTATCGTAGCTTGTAGCGTTGTATCGTAGCTTGTAGCGTTGTATCGTAGCTTGTAGCGTTGTATCGTAGCTTGTAGCGTTGTATCGTAGCTTGTAGCGTTGTATCGTAGCTTGTAGCGTTGTATCGTAGCTTGTAGCGTTGTATCGTAGCTTGTAGCGTTGTATCGTAGCTTGTAGCGTTGTATCGTAGCTTGTAACGTTGTATCGTAGCTTGTAGCGTTGTATCGTAGCTTGTAACGTTGTATCGTAGCTTGTAGCTTTGTATCGTAGCTTGTAGCGTTGTATCGTAGCTTGTAGCGTTGTATCGTAGCTTGTAGCGTTGTATCGTAGCTTGTAGCGTTGTATCGTAGCTTGTAGCGTTGTATCGTAGCTTGTATCGTATCGTAGCACTGTATTTTCCGACTTAACTGCCAACACAGACACTAGTTTTAACTTGGTGTTTTCAGGACAGTCCGTTTTCCGAGCAACTTCTCCTCGTACAGAAGTTTCCACTCTTGGTGTCCAGCTGGGCAGAGAGAACCATAACAGGAGTGGGTGGAAATCGTAAGTTGGGTTAGAAATTGAGAGAGCCCAGGCCGGAGGCACTCAGTGGACCAACAGGGAGATTAAGTCTGCCCTGGTGCCGACCGCTTTCTCTTGAAGATTTCGTTCACTCTCTCTTTTTTCACTCTCTTTGGCTGGGGTTGTCTCCCTGGGGTACTGGGGAAGAAAGTAGATGTGATGCCTCGTTGAGCGGATCCACGTAAGTGGTAGTGATAGCTCGTTGAGCAGATCCCACATAGGTGGTGGTAATACCATAATCAACGGACCCATGTACGTGGTAGTAATACCACGTTCAACGGAGCCACGTACGTGGCTCACGGGAACGAGTGATTTTAATATGTAATCAAACCACCACACAGACTGGGAATCAGATTCCAATCGCTTTGGTGAAATCTTGATCGCATTCTCAAGGGACGTGATTAAGATTCCTCAGCCCCTCCACATGCTCTCTTCTTCTTCACCTCCTCCTTATCTTTCCCCTCCTTCTCCTCCTCCTCTTTATCTTTCCCCTCCTTCTCCTCCTCCTCCTTATCTTTCCCCTCCTTCTCCTCCTCCTCCTTCTCTTTCCCCTCCTCCTCCTCCTAACCATAATTCCATATCTTGAGATATTAAAGAAACACGACTCAGTGTATGTGTGTGTGTGTGTACTCACCTAGCTCTGGTTGCAGGGGTTGAGTCATAGCTCCTGGCCCCGCCTCTTCACTGGCCTCTACTGGGTCACTCTCCCTGAACCGTGAGCTTTATCATACCTCTGCTTAAAGCTATGAATGGATCCTGCCTCCACTACATCGCTTCCCAAACTATGCCACTTCCTGACTACCCTGTGACTGAAGAAATACTTCCTAACATCCCTGTGATTTATCTGAATCTTCAACTTCCATCTGTGTCCCCTTGTTGCTGTGTCCCATCTCTGGAACATTCTGTCTCTGTCCACCTTGTTAATTCATCTCAGTATTTTATACGTCGTTATCATGTCCCCCCTATCTCTCCTGTCCTCCAGTGTCGTCAGGTCGATTTCCCCTAACCTCTCCTCGTAGGACATACCCCTTAGTTCTGGGGCTAGTCTTGTTGCAAACCTTTGCACCTTCTCTAGTTTCTTTACGTGCTTGGCTAGGTGTGGGTTCCAAACTGGTGCCGCATACTCCAATATAAGCCTAACGTACACGGTGTACAGGGTCCTGAACGATTCCTTATTAAGATGTCAGAATGCTGTTCTGAGGTTTGCTAGGCGCCCATATGCTGCAGCAGTTAATTGGTTGATGTGCGCCTCAGGAGATGTGCCTGGTGTTATACTCACCCCAAGATCTTT